TGGTCCCAGGGGTAGGTTCTACCTAGAAATGAGCAACTCCTGTAGCATCCGATCATGAAAGCGCTAGGTGTATAAGCCAGAGGCATCGCCTGGCCATGAAGGACCTGGTCCCCCATCAAAAGTTCAAATTCAGGCAGTTTTTGCCTATTTATAGGAACATACAACATGTTTTTACTCATTCGTACCACCTACTTCCAAACAGCCAGTGTGCAACCAGCAGCTTCAGCAACTGGGCAACTCCAGTTGGCATTAAAAGCAGCAGCAATGCCAACCCACATCTGTGCAGCAGCTCCAGCTGTAGGACAGCGTAGGTGCTGGCCAACACTCGAGACTAGAACTGAACAGAACAATATTCATGACACAGAAAAGCTGAGCCTGCCAGTCATATCCCAGAACAAACAGCTCACTGGCTTGGGCACTCATTTAGGAGGTTAGTATTAAGTGTCTACATAATAATAATAATAATAATAATAATAATAATAATAATAATAATAATAATAATAATAATAATAATAATAATAATAATAATAAATCATACACACTCTGCCCGATTTGAAATGGACAATTCTCCCATGATCCAGGCAGATGGGATGCATACAAGGTTGCGCCAGCATCTCTTTCTCGCTCTCTGGACCAAAGATCACATGAAGTGGAGAAGGGAGAAAGAAACCTCTAGCGTTTTTTCAGCAAACTATGAACTGGCAGAGCTGGGCTCAAGGCCCTGCTCCAGTATTTGCAGAATTGTTGCCATTTCCTTTCCCCTTTGTGTGTCAGACAGAAGAACAAATCCCGCTCCTGAATAATGCAATAGGCTGATGCTCAGGATGCTTTGGACACTCACGTGAAAGGCAGGAGATCCAAGATCTAGTCCTTGATTTGAATCACGCAGAGTACAAACATCAGATTCAGATTGCTGATTTCCTATGGCAACACAACACACCGACATTTCTTCTGAGATTTTACTGCTTTTGACCTGCACAACCACTGAGGACAACTTTGGCAAACCTCACATCTGCCATAACCAGTCGTGTTTCGGTTTTTTTTTTTTGGTTGGGATTTTTGTTGTTGGTTCCCCCCTCCAAAGAATTGCCATTTTCTCAGCAGGTGTTTGAAACAGAGTTCTTGTTCATACTGGCACAGCATTAGCTGGGCTAATTAGTGCACCCCGACACAGCTGCAGGAGTGCACTGATGCCTTCTATAAATTACATATGTGCTAGAATTCACTTATTAAAGAATTCCTGAAGAACTATGGGCATATGCACATAGTAATTCAGTTCTTGGAGCTATCTGCACTACTCTCTGGTTCTCCGTGGACTCTGCAGCGGAGCACTGAGCTTCACAGGTCTGCCAACGACATTCAGAGAATCCGAGCGGGTGAAAACGAGAGAAAGCGTTGGATGCAAAGGGTACCTCTCTCCATAGTACTGCCTATAAAGAGATGAAAACTCACTAACATGGAGCACTTTAACTCAATAAAGCAATAACAAAAATCCTGTCTTGCTCCTGTCTACGAACAACAAAATAAATTATAACTGCAAATGAAAGCAGCCCAAGACCCTAGTAATATCAAGCCACATCAGCTTCTGATGTCCACAGTGAGCAAGAGACCTCTGGCTGTTCTCTGGGATATGACAATGCAGGAAAGTACAAGACCTCAGAAGACCTAACTGCATTTATCTTCTTTAAATATTTGAGAAAGAGTGATTTTCTAGCTACCAAGTCAAATGTCTTATAAACAGAAATTAAGACAGTGTTTCAAACACTTATTCTATCATGAAACTTCAGGGAAAAAAAAGAAAAAAAAACAAACCCACTGCAGTTTTTGGAGAAGAAAAGTTTCTGAAGTAAGTTGTCCTTCCCAATTATTTCTCCAGCTGAGACAGGCTGGATTTCAGAACAGACTGCAATCAACTGGTATGCCCATGGTCAAAACTCTGTGCTCTTCCCTCCCCGAGGCAGCTCTATCTCTCTGCATGTGCTTTGTCTGCAAGAGAGAGTGCTGCTCCTCGAGAGCAAAGCGCGACGTCCATTGAGCCACTCACCTTGGAGAGAACTCACCAGCTCTGGCAAGAGATCACTTGAGAGCTGGAAAAACCCCCGAAGATCTTTGGTTGGTGGATCTCGTATCCTCCTGCATCTCTGAAAGCGGTTAATAGACCAGCTCTGAAGCTTGCCTGCTCCAGAGGAAGAGCCAGCTTTGACTCACTAACAGGTTGGTTTGACATCAATGCTTTAAACGGAGAAAGCTGAAATGAGCAAATACATGGATGGTGAGCTTGTAGGAATATCAGAAAGAATTTCTTTAAAGATCCATCTTTCCGCGTCCAAAGTGTTATAAAGACAGGGGAGTTTTTCTTTTCCACTGATAAGCTTTTCTGGAGATGAACTGTACAGCCAGGCCTAGCAAATTTCCTGGCATAACAAGCTGCATGACAAGTAGCGGCTAACAAGGTGGTTCAATATTTACACAACCTCTTCATTCCTGAGTACACAGCCCAGATTACTAGAAAAGATGAAGTACCTTCAGATAAACTTGTCCGATTTGCCGCTGAACAGCGTCTCCCTCCCCAGAAGCGGGGAGTGACAGTCCCGAGCTCGCAGCAGCTCCCAGGCCCGGCCGCCCCGGCGCGACCCAGGGAGAGCGCGGAGGCCCGGGGGCCGTGACAAAGCCAAGCGACCTCCAAAGCGCAGCTCTTCTCGCGGGTGGCCGCCCGCGGCAGGCGTGCTGCTGCTTGCTTGCCTTTTTTTTGGGTCTGTTCCCGACCCTACAGCTGCCTACTGCCGGTAACACTTCTTTTTGTGAGAAGGTGAACCCACCGATTCGGAAGCTTCGCTTCCTGTGTGCACTGAAACGTCCTGTCGACAAAAGGTTAAGGATGCAGCCCACCTTCCTCCTCCTGCCTGACTGAAAGGACAAATAACAAGCATGCAGACAGCACGGGAGGCTGTCTTTGGAGAAACCACAGCAAACCTTTATGCCCAGAGCCTGTAGAGGAGCGTTAACACCGAACTCGGGAGCTTTTATTCTGCTTTTGAAAACAAACGAAGGAACCAGAAAGTGAGACCACAAGGCTTTTGAGAAAACACTGAGAAAAGATGACCATGTCAGAGGAGAGTGGAGATGCTCATTAACCAGCAACCTCGGCATTCTTCAGAGGGGGGCAGAAGAAGTGACAGCTGAGAAAATTTTCCAATGTAAAGAAATTTTTAAAAAATAATAAAAAAAGCTTTGACTTGGCAACCTCAAGATTCTGGCTAAAACCCAGCATTTACAATAAGGTGTTTATACAACCAAGGAGGACACTGCAAGTGATCTAAAATATAATCAGTACAGAACAATTTTTTTCAATAACAATGCATCAGCTTGTTCTTATTGCCACTTTTGCTCGTGTTTGAAAACATTCCCCTCCCTTTCAGCCATTTTACATGCTTCTTAAATACTACATTATATCTTACTCTAAGTATTCACTTAGCAAAGCTAACCAAGTGTGGGCAAACAGCCTATGGCACACAGTAGTTGTATAAAATTTTTTCAGCTCATGTTCTTCACTTTCCCTCCCATACCTTTCCCTCCCCAGCACCCCTTCTGAAGCGCTCCTTTAGTTTCACCATATTTCAACAGGGCATCTTCCTTTTTTTCCCCAGGTACCAGGTAGCTGTGCATGTGAAATAATTATCCTGAGGCCAGTGTTCTACAGCAGTGTACTGCTAAAGTCATATCAAAAGCAAAAATCTCCTATTTCTTAAAATAATCTAGCCCTTCCCTCAGTACTGGGCTTGAAAGCAGCCTCTTTTTCTGTTGCCAGAACTGCAAAGCACCAACACATAGTTTTTGTGTCCTTTATAGGTGGTTTCTTTTCCCTTCACACGCTGACTCCTCTTACCTTGTTGCTGGTGGAGCAAGTGCAATTCCATCAATTCCAGCACGCCAGAACTGAGAAGGCTCACTAGGTACTCCACTAAAAACAGAGCCCAGGCAAGAAAGGACCCCGTCCACCTGAACAATACGCCAGGTCTTGGCAGCCAGAGCTGCGCTCTTGCTCAAGTTCTCATTCCCAGGCTTGGAGTTCCGGTGTCCTCACACATGGGGACGTTTCTCTGAAGCTCTCCCTTACACACACAACTCTGCTGAATCCCATCTACCCCTCTGCAGTTTTAAATATTCGCAGCACAGTGGTGGAAAACCAACCCTGATATCCAATGCCAACCTATTTTGAACTTTGGGCTAAGAAAACTGCCAAAAAGCCATTTTTCAGACTTTATGAATTGTTGCTGTTAACAGACATCAGTTACATTGTCCATCCTTCCACTATTTTCTTGCTGGCCTACTGCCTCACAAAAGTAAGCACATGGGGGAAGGGGAGGGCACAGTCAAGATACATCCCAACACTCAGAGCCATTTTCTTAATAATAATGATGAATCTCCATGTGTTAAACTCACAGAAAGTCATGTTTCAATGCCTGATTTTTAATAGGCCTTGGTTAGAGTGAGGCCTACAGTATAATACCTCCCCTTGCCAAACAATCACATTTTAGTATAGTGATGACACTGTGTTATTCAGTTCCTTTCTTTAAAAAAACCCCACAAAATTGAATGTCACCATGGGAACAGTCTAAAGTTGATTTTGGAGAGAGGCTCATTTCCTATAGCTTTTCTGTTGGCATGAAAATAATGTCACTGAACTGTATCATAAGTGAGTACTTAATGAAGTATCATCTCTAAAGATACCAGTCAGTTCTGAAAATATCCTCCCTCCCTAATGGTTACATTTCCTTAGTTTCTGAAGCAGAATAAAGGGCCCAGAAAGGCTTCTTCCCCCTTTTCCTCAACAAGAAACACACCCCAAGCTACCACCAGTGTGATCTAATTCAATCATCCTTAGCCTGTAACTATAGTAAGTGTCAGTATGGAAAAACTCCTTCTTAGAAGAACAATTAAAACTTAAAGCAGTCATCCTGGTTGGCTGGCTGAACAAACGACACATGTTCACACAAGAATAATTCATTCAACCGTCTTAATAAGGATTTACTTTAAACAGAACCTGTACGGGTACACTAGACTCAGTCTCATTAAGGAGTAAGTTGGATTTTTATACAGCATGAACCATTGGCAATCTAAAACAGACCCACTGAAGAATGGAATGGAGAACCAAACGCAATGTTTCAGACCCAAACTCTATGTGCCTTTAATACTTTCTTTTTCCTTTTTTTTTTTTTTTTTTTTGAGAGAGAGTGCACACTACGACAGACATTCGCATTTATCATGTTTTTAACTTCTTTTCTAAGGATGGACTCTCTGAATCTGCATCTTCCAACTCCACTCTGTGTCTTTTCAGTCCTCCGAGAGACTGAGTGCTCTCACTGCCCGTAGGATGCAAGTCAGCAGTATCCTCTCTTGTGCTCCCGCTGTAGCTGTTGGAGTCCATGTCAGACAGGCAGCAGTCTTTGTGCAAGGTGACACCCATCTGTACAAGGTTGCCACTATCAGCATTTGAGTGCACCTGTAGTCCTTGCGTCGCAGTCTCCTGCTCTCCAAAACTCTGTCCATTGTTGAAGCACGAAGGGCGAAGATGCAAGTGGCCGTTATTGTGGTTAACGCAGGAGGTGTCGGGGCTTCTCTCCTCACTATCATCAGTCTGGTTTCTGGAGCAGTGACCCGACACACTACAGATGGCAACAGCGGAGAACGGAGGGACCAGTGAGTGATGGCTTGATGCTGGTTGACAGTTCTGACTATTTTTCTGTTCCACAAGTCCTGCAGTCTGAATGCAAGGTTCTTCAGTACAACTATTTAGCCCTTTGCAGTTAGCTTTTCCATTGAGCTTTTTAGTCTCAAAAGAATGCTCTATACCTCCACTGCTAGTGTCTTCAGGTGTGTTTTCTTGACCCTCCATCTGCCGCTGATTGTCACATTCATGAGCTTGACCATTACTAGAATTTTCTATAAAGCCACATTCTTTTAAAGTCTCTTTGTTGTGGCTTTCAGTAGAAAGAGCTGGGGAACCTTGAGGAACTACTGAACTCAAGTTCCTAGCATCTTCCTTATTTGGCAAGTGTGCTGTACTGTGCCTTCCACTAGTTCCTGGCTTCCCTTCATCATTCTCTCCGTCTCCTTTGGAGGATTCACTATCTTTACTAGCTGAATATATGTAAGAATAATGAAACCATCTGTAAGCTCTGTAAATCTTTCTTTCCACTGATTCACTGTCTGAACAAGGAGATGTCCTTTCTTTGAGAACTTCTTTGTTGGCTGAACTCCTTTCTGGCGAAGAAGCTGGAGAAGAAGAAAGATCATCTACTTTGATCTGGGGGTAATCATAGATGTCCTCACCTACGTAGGGGGTCACGTTCTCCCTGTTAGTGCTAGTCCTTTCCTCCTTTTGCACCTTCTGCCGGCGCCTCAGCGCATTGCGTTGCCTCATAGATGTGCGTCGTTCATTCAGTTCCTCTTCATCTTCTGTACTGCTGCTGCTGCTGGAACTGCTGGATTCGTTCTCCTCAGGGCTCGGGGACCGTGGCCGTGGGAAAAGGTCCGTATCTAGTTCTGCCTCACAGGTATTGTCATCAGAGTCAGACTCATTGGAAAGGGCCAGGAGACGTTTATCCTGATACTTCCTCAGCGCAGAGAGCCTCTGCTGACGGGAAGCCACATCTTCTCTGGCTGAGGGGGATTCAGTTGATCTTAAGGCCCTTAAGTTATAGGCAGTTTCATCAGACTCTTCAGCCACATGGGGTGGGGAGTGATGCAAAGAGGCAGAGGACTCCGACTCGCTGTAAGCGGAGCGTTCGCTTACTCCTGCGTGGAGCTGCAGGATTGTGCTTTCACTGAGGTCGCTGTCTGAGTCAGAACTCCAGCCCTCAATCTCCCGGCGCACCAGGGAGTCAAAAAAGGCCATCATCCGTGGATCTTCCTGGACTGACTGGTTGGCATAATCATGGGACAAACCACTACCACTGTTCAACACAAGACTGATGTACTCTTCGTGCGTGTAGAGACAACGCGAATCATCCTCAATTCTACCATCCAGATCCCCCGTGCAGTCAGGCTGCTTGTAAGGACTCCAGATCTGTAACAGAAAATAAAAAAAAAAAAAAAAAACATACAGATGTCTTTGAATTCAGAAACTATTACAAGCATTTGAAATAGAACAGCAGTGCCAATACCCAGAACAATCGCCAGTTGTAGATTGTTGTTATTAATTTTTACCTCTCTGACCCTTACAAGTATTCCAGAGGTGCGGATTTTTTTCCTCCCCCTTTACAAATGTGTTTTTCCTGCATCTACTTCACCAATCCAAATCTAAAAGCTCTCAAACTGCAGATTATCCATCATTTCAATACTTCACTGTGCAATAATTTCTCCCAAATCGCAAGGCTCTATTTTTATGTAATAGGGGATGCTTACTCACTAACGGTAAGAATAGAGAACAGTTTGTTGCCTACAATACAGTCTTAGCAGTAACGAAGCCACTTGTTTCCCAGGAAACTAGAGTTCCTTGTGCCAGTGATGGAGAGTAACATTTCATCCAGCTGCATCGTCAGTCACACCTGATCAGCAGGCAGGGAGCCGAATGTATGGAGGTGAAAAGCAGAGCTGCACTACTCCCTTTAGGGAACAGTCATGCAGGAAAGCAAGCATCCAACACCCTCTCGAGACACAGCAGCAGTTTCAGTTAGCAGGGAAAGGTGAAGGAGAAGAGTTTTACTGAAAGCTACTTTTGAATTGGAGAGAGGTAGTAACATGGCAAAGTGCAATGACTTCACTACTAGCAACAGCCTTGACTGTGCTGTCCATCTAGCCTCCCCTCAGTCTTCCTGGTGTGGAGGGGAAAAGGAAAAGAAAAAAAGCCCCAGAGAAGATCCACCAATATCCCTAAGAAACTGGCAATCCATACCAAATACCACAGTTTGACCTCCTCACCTTTCTCAATTTTAATCATATTGCCCCTGAATCTGCGAGTAAGGCACGCATTGGACAACCAGAATGGCTTCATTCTAGATTGATGGTTACTGTAATGCACAACACCTACTGTAAGCAGAGCTAGTATCTAGCTTATCCACAATAGTGTCTTAACATCCTGCTTATAAAATATCTGATTTCAGTCATGCTTTGGTTTTACCATGCTAACAAGCTGAGGGAAAAAAATTCTGTGCCAGCTGTCTGGCCTTTTGGGACAGACTTGGGCAAAAACATTTATTTTCCCAACAGAAGAGTCTAGTTTTGTTCCAAAACCACTAAGAGAAAGGGTTTCCCTGTGTAAGTGGGATAATCAGCACTCATCTCACAGATGTGTAGTTAACACATGCAGCATAACCTGATACAACCATGACAATCATTATAAAAAAAGCCCATGAGAATACCAGTAATTCTGTATTCACAGAGGTTTTCAACAGTGTACAGTAAAGACCTTACATCTTTAATATTGGAAGTAACATGAAATAAATTATCTTGAAGCTACTTGTTCAGCACAGCAAATTTAAGATGTACAGGTAAACTTTATTCTGGAATTCTCCCAGACTGGAATGCCTTTACTTTGCATCCTCTGTAATTTATGGTTAACAGAGCTTCCACATATGATCTTGCTATGTAGATAAAATTAAAGCAGGCTGCAGATACACCTTTTTCTGTACGGCAATCATCAAGCTGCCTTTCAGAGCAAAGGCAAAGGAATTTTACATTGCATTACCTTAGCCTGTTCCTAGGGGCACGCCTCAGTATCAAGATGTGTTTGCTATTTGTACTTAATTGCAATTTTTATTATTTTCACTACTTAAGTAAATAAAGATTCCTCCAGTACAGTTCATTAATATAATACTTGAAACCAGAATGAAGACAGACTCCATTGCTTGGTTCAAGCACTGAACTTACCAGACACATAGCTCAAGGGACAAGCACCAGTTTTGGATAAAGATAACAAAACCCAGCCTAAGCCCACTATGTACAGACTTCCATCAACCATACTTAACCTTTTTGAATTATTCAAGAATAGAAAGAATCTCTCTTCATCCTCAAATTATTTCCTGTGCTCCACTTCCTAAGGACAACCTCAGTGGATGCATGAGAGAGAGTTGATTTGGGGATACACCAAGTTTTTTAATGGAAAAATAGAACTGTACTTGTTCAAAGGACTATTCCGAGTTGCTGTCTTCTTGATGATTTAAATAGCACATGTTCAGTACCTTCTCTCACAATTTATCAGATCTTTCCCCCTCTTTGTCCCACTACTGAGCGTTTCATGAAGTAGATCAGATCTTTTTGTATTTAAGAAGCATATACCTTCTTGTAAATGCTTCATACTGTATACCTGGACAAGTAGGCTGACATGTCCCTTCCTCAAATAGTCTTAGCAGTGTTAGATTGATCACTAGGTTTTACAAAAGTTTTTTTTTTTGTTTTGTTTTGTTTTTTTAAGCAAGAGAATTAGAAAACTCTTAGATTCTGTATGAATCAATATAAATGGAGGAGAGGTAGTCTGCTCTAAAGTCCCTCTGGGAAAGGTCTGTTTTACAATGAAAAGTCATCTAAAAAGGTACATAGAGTGCACAGAGGGATTTCACAACCTTGTTAGTGCTACCAGATCTTTCTGCTCACTCTGCAAGCATCAGAGAAAATACAGCAGTGTTAAATAATGAAACGACAGCTACAAAGAGTCCATACTGAGGCTTTTCCCTTCATAACAAAGATGTGTTCAGAGAAGAAATAAATAATAAAGAGAAGTCAAGGGAATTCAGGATGAATACCTGTTTGTACATGATCAGATGTCTCTGGAGATTGATATTCCTATTTGTTAGAATTTTGCTATGATTGAATATAAGGGCCTGCCAGAGTCCCAGAAAGAAATTAGACTAAGAACTTATCCTTGGCAGGACCAGGAGTCTCTAAACTGGCAGCAACTGGCCCAGTGCTCTGTGGCTTTTGAAATGGGCTTCTTTGTAAATGGAACGCCTTTCCCTTTTTCACATCACCTGGCTGATGCCACGTCAAGGAAGAATGTGAGCAAATTGGAGAAAATAAGTTGGCAAATCATCCCACTGAGACAACAATCTATCAAGAAGTTCTTTATCAGAGGATAAAGGAGCTCAGTATTATTCACTGATGCCCCGAGTACAGATATAAAAACAGGAAGAACAACAGAAAAGGGGAGTACAAAACTGGTTCTCTACTTCAGCAGACATGTTTAAGAGAGCATGGTTGAATTGCTTGTATTCCATGGTAGCAACCGCCCAAATTTTAAAACATATAAGTAGTTATGCCTGTAGCCTGAGAATAATTAAAACCAGCTATATTAGATTATGTGATTAGGCAGAGGCAGCTAGCCACAATTACACTAATCTGTCACTATAGCAACATGGGCAAATACACTTTGCTATCTTTGATATACTGATGATCTTTAAACAGATGAGACCTACAACAGCTGTGCTCAGTTACACAGTATTCCATTTCCAATAGAAAACAGTATTTCTTTCTGAAAATCCTTACACACTATCTATTTTATCTTTCTGAAACTCTCTTCTAACTGCATAATCATTTGTGGCCCTTCTCTAAGCCCCACACATCAGAGGGAATGCCTCATTTCTTTCTCCTGCAATGTAATTTGTCTTCCTGCCAGCACATCCCAATGTCTCACACACTAAACTGAGGGGAAAGTGGTATTTTTCTACTTCGTATTGCTTTAGCCCTCATGGCAAACGCTTGCTGCAAATTATAATTTTAGTTCACAGCTGTGCTTTTCCACACGATTTTACTGAGGTTCAGGTTTCTGATTTGGAGGGCAATTCATCTGGGTTGAGGTGTCCAGCACACACTGTCTGGAGTCAAGGCACCTAGTATCCTCCATTAATGAGCTTGTTGAGTATTATTTTAGGTTTCTGAAACCTCCTCACCTGAATATTCACACACCCTCATCATCTTATCCATTGTATTCTCAGTCATAGCAGAAATCAAACTCTAAACCACTGAGATACTGAATTATATTCTTGCAGGTGCTTTACAACAAAATACTAAAGGGAAAAAAATACCACAACGACAAAGGTCAAAATCATTCTTGTGAATACTATTAATTTCAGCAGGGCTAGGCCCGAGATGAATTTGTATCTCATTTGCAATCAGCATTAAAACAGCAAGCGTGCTGGCAGAAGCATGTGGAATTATTGAATGGCTTGTCTGTATCATGCCTTGATGCTGGTGCTATCAGTTCCTCACTTCTAGAAGTACTAAATTTAGGCCAGGTAGTCTAAAAATTAAGGGCTCAGACAAACAACTACTTTCATCCACATTTTTAATTCATCACAGAGTTTCTACAATTGAGGAAGTGGAATACCAGCCAACCACAGTGAAGTTACTTTCCGTGAGTTAATTCCAGAAAGATTTTTAGAAGACACTTGAAGGACAGGAAAAAGAAGGACACTTCTTAAGGAACCGATTAAAACAAACAAAACAAGAAAACATAAAAATCCCCTAACTATAATCTTTATTTATGGCTCTTCCTCTTGTCATCTCAACTTCTCCAAGCTAGCACATGGAGCATTTATATGAGGGAAAGAAAGACAGCCATGCAAGGGAAGGACTTGTGTTCCCAGCTGTTTTCAATGCATTAAATAATCTCTCAGAAATGCTAGTGGTGTTTTTCCTGTTTTGCCCTTCTGCTAGTGGCAGTTACTAGCCTCCAACCTATATGCAGAAGTAGCTGGAACGAAGAAACCACCACCATTGTAGGGTCACCTACAAACCACTGTTCACTAAGACAGTACCTTTAAAGACTGAAGTCATGCAGACCAGACAAGATATGAGCCTTAAAACAACCTGATCCTCAAACAAGGCACATTACAAGCGGAGACAAAATGACATACAACGAAAGGGTAAGAAGTTCTGGCTTGCTAATAAACTTAATAAAGAACCCCCAATTCTCCCTTAATTTGTTCCTAGCTTGCAATGTTTGAGGAATTCAGTTTCTTTAGAGCAGCTACACAAGTTCCATTGCACATACTGCAACACAACAGGCGTTCTCTTCTAAGGAAGCATTCAAGCAGAGGTGTCTTTGAAAGAGTTACACAACCTGTGACTGGAGCCTTAATCAAACTAACCTTTTAATCGCTAGGAAAAAAACAAAAAAACAAAACAAAACAAAACAAAAAAAAAAAAAAAAAAAAAACAACCCCCTGACAAAATGTAAAAACCCTATCAGAAGTACACAATAGCAGCACAAGGGACGTTTATACCAGTGCTAATCCAACAGTCCAAGCACACTTGTGCAGGAAGGATTCATAGGGTGAAGGGTCAGCAGATTAAAATCCAAAAGGGAGAATTCAGGCTGTGTGAATCAAGTACCCAAGCAAAAAAAGAAAACAAACCAAACAAAACCCAAACAAAAACAAACCTCTGGCAAAACTGTTGCTAAACAGTGGCAGTTTGACTGATTGGAAACTGAAAAGTTGGTGAGCTGCTAAGGCTGTTCAATGCACTTTTGTTCAAAGCCTATATTTGATAGATTTGTGATCAAACCTGTCAGGAGGACACAGATGAGGAAAAAAGTAGAAAAGCAAAAAAGCAAACAAAGTATCAGTGGAAGACAGAAGAGAAGGAAAGATATACTACAGTCAGAACCCAAGTGCTGATTGTAGCTATAATGCAAGTGATACAGCCAGGCATTGGGCCAGTTCTGGTCCATAAGTTGCAGACCACTAAAACACTCCTTTGCAGGACAAATTCATTCAGTCAACTTGTAGCTGACTAAAGCCTTTACTAATACTCAAATGACCTCATTTATAGCCACATGCAGGTAAGAGTTTCATGAAGTTATTCAACAAATAGTTAGAAGCAGCATCAGTTCTCATTATCGTACTTAAAAATTAAATCGTTCTGGTTTCTTTCATCTTGTTGATAGACCTAAATTATAGCAAAATTTCTGTGGCGGCAGAATGAGAAGTGCAGTAGTGTAGCATAATCCTCCGCCTCTCTATCCTCAACCCCTGGTATTAGAAATTACAAAAAAGTTTCTGCCTTGCACCCACAATATTAGCTGACTTTCCTGAAGGAAAGTTTCAGAACCTAACAAAGTTTGTTATCTCTTTACATTCAACATAAAAAGGCATCAACTTTCTAAAAATACTGTATATTGTTAGAGGATTCAGAAAAGACATATTTTGGAAGGTATTAAGAGTCCTATTTCCTCTCGAAGCCACAGAAAGGTATGTTGAATTGATTCAATGCAGAAGTGTGCACAAAAATTATAGGAGGGCTCCTGAGGCAGTATTTGGGCCAAATTCAGCTAGGTCAGGCTAGGCTAAGGCTCAGTGATACTATTTTAAGAGACTTTTACTAAATTTGAGCCCAAAGTATCAGAAGTCTTAGGAGATCATGTTACAGCTGTGACCAAACTCTCCCCAGAAGGACTGTTTGTATGATACTTCAGCTATGTACAGAATGAAACTGGAAAAAAATTCCCCTTTCAAGGTACAAATGCAGGAAATCTGGATCTTATCTCTCATCTCTAAAACCTTTAAAATTGACTTGTAATTTAAATTTGAAATTCCCAATTAAAAATTTGTATCAGTTTAGCCAGCAAATGAGACATACCACTTTACAAAAGAATAAGATGAGAAGACAGGATGGGTGTGGAAAAGAAGGAGGCTGAGCAAACAAAGCATTTCTTCCTGAAATATTGAAAAAACATGTTTTCTGATAATTAATCTTACCTTTATGATCTTTTCAACACCAGAAGAACAGATCATGTAAGTGTGAGGATTAAACCGGACTTGGTTTACAATCGACCGATGACCTTTCAATACCATGAAAGCACCATTGACGACCCTGCCAATGCCACCTAGGGGAAAAACAAGCAGACACTGAAATGAATGATTAAATCTTCATATTCCTTTCATTCATAATCATTTAAAGTTGCATTATATTTGACAATGTGCTTCAGCTTTATTTTGTACTATTTTAAGGTCTGCGTTGGCTGCAGAATTCCAATTTTATGAGCAATGCCCCTATGAAAAACTGCAAGTTTGAGGAAAAGCATCCTTCCTGCAAATTAGGACTTGGAGGCTAGCTTTAGTTCAACTATCTAAACAAACAATGAAGATTTTTGACCTAATATGTCAAGTATGTGAATAAGAACAACATACATACTTAATGAAATCACCAGTGAAACCATATTGCCTAAGGCATGACACTGCTCACAGTTTGTAAATTTGAAGCAGAGACAAATAAAGAGGTCGACTTTTTTAATAGCTATACTCTTTCTTCTAAAATCTACTTTAAATCAGCAATTCATTACTGTCACAGTTGACTCTACTCTGATGGGTAGGATTCTAAAGGAGCCAATCTTCAAGTTATAACATTACAGCTGGACTTGGTATAGTCTTCCCTAGACTGGGATCTATAACAACTTGTATTTCTGTGAATCAAGTTTAAACAGGGACCTGAAATAACATCTGACCAGTGCGTTATATCATTCTTTGTCACAAGGCAGGGAATTAGCTGAAGTGAAATGCTTTTGTGATATTAGTAAAACTCAAAACAGAAACCAGACAACTTTTGCGCTTGGTCACTAATTCTTACTAGGTCTATACACCAAAATAAGAAACTGTCACACAGTAATTTTTTATATTCATAGATTCACACAATTAAAACCATACATTTTCTAGAAAACACACCTGTGTATCTGAATAAATAAGTATCAACCAAGATGCTATGATTAACATCTTCAGTGAAAGAAACCAAAACTTTTAGAAGAGAGGAAGTAAAAACTGAAAACCACTTCAGAGGAAAACCACGTTGCTATTTACAATTTCAGAGGTCATAAGCACACCTTAAAATAATTTCATTAGCTTCTGTGCTACTTATAGTCATCTTAACACTAAACAAGTAAACTTTATATTCTTCTCGTTGAAGATGTTTGCTGTCCTCCTTTGTCCTCAAAAGGAACTCTTTCAGCTGAAGTAGCTGCTGGTTTAAGCCCCAAGCCCAATGTTGAACAACTCGTCTTCTAAAACAGAGAGACAGAGTTCTCCTGCAAGGCACATTTCATAAAGAAAAACTTACATTAACACTGAAGAGCAGCAAGACAGAAGGGCCAAAGGGAGGGGGGGGGGGGGGTTAGGAAAAAGCATTCCTAATCACTTTCCATGTTAGGTTACATAAATGATGAAGAACTGCAGCTTCTGAGCTTGTGTTCAGCCCCTCTCCTCTTAGAAAAAGGACTCTATCCTTTCTACTCATTATAACTACACTCTGAAGACCAGACTGATGTGTACGCACCATGATAAGGATTTAGAAATGAGGAGTCATCCAACTCCTAAATATCTGCAGACAAATCTTTTTACTGCTTCTGGAAAGTGTTCTGTTTGCACAAATCTGTTTTTGCAGACCAAACTGGTATCTCATGGCACTTTGGGATAGAAAGATAACGTGCCTGAAGTGAATAGAAATGACAAGTAACTCCAAGGACCAAATCACATGGCCATTTTAAAAACTTTGTATATAGCATGAAGGCTCATTTTAAAATTAAGAAAGCCCAAAAGGGAGATTGGCACTCCAGTTAACTTCTAAGAATGTTCACTGAAACTGCATTGAGACTGAGCAACCTGGAACAGTTCTCTTATTTGGGTACACTTGTATTTTCTGTAAAGGTTCAAAGGTAAGTCCTGCCTTCAGCCACTGGAGCAAGATTTCACCAGTGTGTAAGCAAAGCTGACTGAGAAGTAACTGATTAGAGATCAAGTTCACTAAATGCCAAATTGGTCTCTTTTGATTTTCTTTTCAATTTTATGAGATTCCTCACATCCTTCCATTCTGCCGCCCCTGCCAGACATTCATGACCACATTTATGGCTGATGGCAAATTGCCCTATTCCCACAGCATTCCTTCTAGCCAAAGCACAGTTGTCAATCCAATTGCATCAATCAAGCCAGCAGTGGATGGTTACATCAAGTCCAGTTCTCAACACATTTAATCTTGACCTAGCTGATATACGTTCCAGGAAAAAAGGCCTTGGGAATGAAGAGACAATTCATTTAGGAAACATTTCCAATTCTATAAGTAAAGCCTAAACCAAGTGTTAACTATCCATGGACTCTGGCTGCCTGAATTCAGCACAAAACAAGGTATGTCCTGTGAACCACTTATAAAAGATTCAGAAGTTAGAGAGACAATAAGCAAAGGAAGAATTATAATGGAGATGAAATACAAATTTAGGGCACCAATATCTTGGGCTGCATTTTCAAGCCAGTCGTTGGCACTTTGTGGTACTGTCAGCAGTGTGAATTAACCCATGGTTATTTTCCTAGTAAAACAGTGAAAACAGTTCTTTAATGCCAGATCTGTCTTCTGGTATTAAACTTTAAATGTTTATCAATACACTAAGAGTTCTGGATAAAAAGTGAACAGCATGCCATGTCTAGAACACAGCTCTCCCTAGGCTGTAGTCAAATTCAGGTGGTGTCTGAAGCCCAGAAAGCCAACTGTATCCTGGGCTGCACCAAAAGCAGCATGGCCAGCAGGTCAAGGGAGGCAATTCTCCTCCTCTACTCTACTCTAGTGAGACTCCCCGCTGCCACTGCAGTGCTGTGTCCAGCTCTGGGGTCCCCAATGCAAGAAGGACATGGACCTGCTAGAGTGGGTCCAGAGGAGGCCACAAAGATGCTCAGAAGGATGGAACACATATCCTATGAGGACGGGCTGAGAGAGTTGAGGTTGTTCAGCCTGGAGAAAAGAAAGCTCTGGGGAGACCTTATTGCAGCCTTTCCATAAAGGGGACTTATAAGAAAGACAGAGAGAGACTTTTTACCGAGGCCTGTAGGGACAGGAGAAGGGACAACAGTTTTAAGCTGAAAGAGCATAATTTATATTTGGATATAAGGAAGACATTCTTCCCTGTGCGGGTGGTGAGGCACTGGCACAGATTGCCCAGAGCAGCTGTGGCTGCCCCCTCCCTGGCAGGGTTCAAGGCCAGGTTGGACGGGGCTGGGAGCACCCTGGGCTGGGGGAAGGGGGCCCTGCCCCGGGCAGGGGGGTGGGAACTAGGTGATCTTTAAAGGTCCCTGCCAACCCAAACCAGTCTATGAGTCTGTGAATGAACTCCAAATCTTTCTGCTTTAATACTGAAGTTCCCTAAATTCCTTTTAAGCTGTTAACAGTAAAATCAGAGAAAACATAGTACTAGAACATACTTTACTCCTCTAAGAGTGAAGATGAACTTCCCTACAAAGTCCCTTAAAACAACTGCCCCATTACAGGAAAAGTCCCTTATGAGCAGGTTGCTGCAATCACAAGTTTTAGCAGTCCGCTTTTTCCAGCAGTATGAGAGATTTTAATCGCTTAAACCAAAATGCATCGACTCCAGCAAAGCTCTGATAATCTCTGTGTCAAATATAATAGACTGCCCCAGAACCTCATTTGTGGACAATCCCTTGCCTGATGTAATTTCAGTCTACCAACTCCTAGGTGCTTAAACGATGTCTCTAAGTGCTTAATGCAGAGCCTTCTGCACCCTTATCTTGACAGCAGTCTCTTCATTTTATAGTATCCCAGCAAAGTTGGTATTGTATTCCATGTGTATCTGCGTGGCAGACATATGCCTGTGTCCAGACCTGTCTGGAATCCCCCCCCGGTCTCTCAGCAGAGGCTGAGCTGCAGCCATGCAGCTTCTAGCCATCTCACAGTGTGAGTTAAGTTTGCTTATGTCTGCTGACAAAAGAAAAAAGTGCATCTGTACATTAAGTGCAGGTTTGCCATAAAACTGCTCAAATTCCTGAGGCCATCTTCCTTTTTTCCATGTAATAATTTCTATTTCTTTTTGCCATCTTCTCTTGAACTGGTATTTTTATTTGCATTGTTTCAGCAGAATTGGCCTCTGCTATCCCAACGACATTCAAATGTTGCTTTTGAGGTTTGGGTTTTTTTTTGTAGAGGGCAGGGGTGGTTTGTTTGCTTTTCAACTTAGTGGCATGCACAGGTCCTGCAACTGTTTTAGCAAGACAGCTTTTATATTCTTAGATAGTTACCACATGTGTAAGCAGTGTTTATACAGAAGCCATTAGCTTACATCTATGTTTTATTAATCATATTTACAGAAAAACAAAAAAAACCCTGGAAGTCCTCAGAGACTGAATTATACCAATTTTAGAAGGTTTCTAAATACTAGAGGGAAGGGATGGAGATATACTAGCTGGCTTTGCAATACTTTCCAAAAATTGCCATGCTTAAAGACAGTTCTGAGTAGTGGTTTAGTTTTTCTAGCTGTGCTGGTTGATGTTTTTTTTGGTCTGCATTTATTTGATACGCAAAGCAAAATGTCAAGAAAATCCCTCTTCCTCTGCACCCTGCAAATAAGTGCTCCAAAGAAAAGTAACACAAATTCTCAAAAATTCTTTAAATAATATCCTACTACGATATATGACCAGCTGGAAGAAATAACTTATAAAAGGCTAAATCTGAAGTGTAATTTTTTTTAAAACAGATTTCCCCTACATACATTTGACAAGAATACCATGGCAACACAATGACTATCTGCAGGCTCCAATACAGACAGAAGGAAGGAATAATACAATGCTTTTAATAGTAGATGTCTACTAAATTGCCAAAGTGATTACTTCTTGGTTTGCTTTATTATGTTTTAAATTTTATGCTAATTAAATACTTGTTAATTATTCAGTTTTGCAAATATTTATGCAAATTAGCTGACATTTCACATATTGAGAACATGCTGGATGGTACATACCAACACATTTTAAAAAACACTAGTAGATCATAGTGAAGGAGAGCGAGATATTTGGATAGCAATCTGACTTCCCATATACAAGTTCCACAACACGTAGCAGT